ATCGAACGATTGCCTATTAATGATTTTCACTGCTTTGTACTTTAATCTATGCAAAAATAGTTCAAAAATTGGAAAACAGTTAAAAATTTCACGCATCAGCGTATGAAAACTGAATTCGAAACCTTGAAGGGTGAATATCTTTACGTGATTCCCGAGTTAATAGTTTGCTCGCCAAAATTTTCACGAGGCCGTAGGTGGTACCCGAGAGCGCGAGGACGCTGACTTTGAATGGACGGGGTTGAACAGGGGCAGGGGGTCATTCCCTTAAAATTTCAGCCTCCTAGACTCCGTGGTTCCCGAGATATTAACTTACCCGTAAAAAACTTTCAATATACGTGTTAACCGCGGCTACGGGAAGGCATGATGTTGGACTTCGGTCACACAACGTTTATAAAAAAGGGTTATTCGTTGGATTATTCGTCACTGTATATCAAAATTAAGATGTGTCTATCATAATTAGCGATAACTGTGTTGCAGAAAAATATGTCATCAGATAAGCATTTTTTGGTACGAATGACTCTGGCACAAAATTTGGGTGATTTAGCGGAAACATCATTCAGGTAAGCACATTCTTCTGCTGTTTTTTCTTTTTTTTTGGCCAACGGTTTAAGTGTTTAGGGGGAATAGGGTGTCGCAAAAACCCGAGAAAATCCGACAAAAAAAAAAAAAAAACGCTGCAAAAACTACACAGCGTAACAAAAAACAGACAAGAAAAGATTTGTACACGCCGCCTCGGGAGCAGATACACGGGCTATTTTTGGGGCACGAAAATGGTGGTATTGTGGTTTAGCACGTCATGTTAGAATGTGGAAGTAGGATTTTGAAACAACAAGCGTCTCTTTTTAAAAAAGATAGCAAAAAAAAAAAAAGAAAAAAAAAATAAATCGCTCGATGAAAAGCAGAGCTGAGAATCCAGTAATGTAGCTCCCGGCTCACTGTACATACAGGCTTGCTTATTTGGGAGATCTAAATGGCACTTCCAGTTTTTCGTTACTTATCAAAATTTCGATTGTGTTCCTCTCCACGCTGATCGGCCAACAGCGCCAAACAAACTGCATATGTTAACACATAAAAGACTTCACGCCCCCGTCTACTTCCAGTCTCCTTGCCCGGGATATTCATTGTTTGTACCTTTAAAATTTCTAAAATGTTCAGCTACAACAGCCATAGAAAGGTTGCAGGGTACAGTTGATGAGGCGAAGTCTGCGATGCGGTAATAGAGGAGTAGTTAATCAAAATTTTAAAATAAGATGCTGCAAAAATATTAGATTATTTAAGGTTTATGCATGAAGGATCACAAAATCTAACGGAAGATTTACTGGGTGGCTCGGTTGCCGAAATGGATGACAAAGAACGAGAGGCGAAACTTGCTAAACAAGAGATGAAAGCACTTCACGAAGCAGTTATTGAAATTTTTGTCAACTTATGTGGCTCAGACAACACTGTTAAGGTATTTTTTTTGCACCCCCATAACAGGATATGATCAGTTTTTTACAGCAGTGGTTTTTTTTAGAGTAATAAACGATGGTTTTTTTTTTTTTAGAAAATTAAACGCTGGATTTGTTGAATACTAGTTTTAGCAATTTTTTATAATATTGCTTTATTTTTTACCTTCAGGGGGAGCTGAAATTACACGCGTGTAAGATCAGTTGTAAAAGTCTGAATTGGAGAACTTAAAATGTAGCAAAAATGGCATCAGACTTGGTTGACATATGCTAATTTACGAGGAAAAGAGGAAGAATTTGAGTAAATATTTACGAAAGTCAATAAGGTACTTTATTGGGATCTAGGAGTGATATCGCTGGAGGTGAGGTGAGTTGAAAGTGGATGACAATGTTCACTCGCTTCCGAACACAGACACACAGACGCACACACACACACACACACATACGGACGAACTGTCGACAATATGCGTTCTTGCTCATTGTAGCAAAGCTAT